TTCATGATATGAATACTTAAGAAAGTAGGCATAGAAGGGACATACCTAAAAATGATACAAGCCATATATGACAGACCCATAGCCAACATTATACTGATTGGGGAAAAACTGAAATCATTCCCACTTAGAACTGGAACCAGACCAGGCTGCCCACTATCTCCACTTCTATTCAACATAGTGCTGGAAGTCCTGGCTATAGCAATCAGACAGGATAGTGAAATTAAAGGTATCCAAATAGGGGCAGAAGAGATCAAACTTTCACTGTTTGCTGAGGATATGATATTATATTCAGAAAACCCCAAGGATTCAACCAAGAAACTCCTGAAACTGATCAATGAATTCAGTAAAGTCTCAGGATACAAAATGAATACACAGAAATCAGAGGCATTCGTATACACCAACAACAATCAAATTCAGAACCAAATAAAAGACTCAATACCCTTCACAATAGCAACAAAGAAATTAAAGTAGCTAGGAGTATACTTAACCAAGGAGGTAAAGACCTCTATAGGGAGAACTATGAAACACTGAGGAAGGAAATAGCAGAGGATGTAAACAGATAGAAATCCATTCCATGCTCATGATCGCATTACTTTAAAAATGTTCTTTCTACAAAAATGATGACAGGAGCAATGCAATACTATTAATCCCATTAGATTATTCCAGATGAAAATATTTTATGTTGTATGGAATCAAAGAAGACCTGAATATCAAGAGCATTCTATGGCAAAAAACAAATGGGAGGTATTAATGGCCGATATCAAATCAAAGGTGTAGTATTAACCATCTCGGCGCGTTTGGCAAAACAATGGATATTGACTTATAGAAACAGCTTGAGATCTGATATAAACCATCCTAATAGCATTACTTGACAAGCAGACACAATTCGCTGGGAAAAGAAATCCTTTTCAATAAATGGTGCTGGGGAAAACTGGATAGCCCACTGTAAAGGTAAAACAGACCCACACTTTAACTTAAAATCAATCGCGCTGGAGAAATCTTAATAAAAGGTTGAATTATTGAATTCTAGAGGAAAAATGTGGAAAATCTTTAGAATGCCTAGGGAAAGATTATGAAGACGTCCAAGGAATCACAAGCAACGAAATAAATAAATTGCGGACTGATGAATACCAAAGTTGCAAGTAGAATATTATGAAAGTAACAGAACTAAAGTATGGGGAAAATTTTTTGCATACTAACTATCGATAAGGGTATAACTAGAGTATATTAGAACTCGAAATCAGCAACGAAAATCAATAGACCTAAAAGTGGCAAAGGATTGACAGAAACTTTTAAGGAAGACAGAAAATTGCCAAAAAATATGAAAAATGTATCATCTTTATCTAGGGAAAGAAATCCAAACCAATGTGATATCCTTTACCAGTGAGATGGCCTTTGATCAAAAAATTTCAAATACAATGCTGGGGGGGATGCGAGGAGAGAGAACATCTACAGGCTGGTGGGTGCAAATAGTTCAATGTGTGGAAGCAATATGGGATAATTAAAGGATCAAGTGAATACCATTGATCAAGCAAATCTGCTGGATCTACAATGATCAATGACTTACAAAAAGACCTGCATTTGAATGTTTATAGCAGCACAATTAATAATTGCAAGGTGTGGAAACGCCAAGTGCCTATGATGGATTATAAAGTGGTATATGTGTAATGAGTATATTCGCTTAAGAAACAATGGTGAATATGCAGTTTATTTTTCTGGTAGAGCTGACAACTATATGTGAATTCCCAGATGGAAACAAGCACCTATATCACAGCAAATGGTAGTCTGAATGACCTAAGTGGACACATAGGTACTACAGTAATAGGGTATTGGGCAGGTGGGAGGCGGGAGGGGGCGGGTATAGATATACATAAGGAGTGAGATGTGCACCATCTGGGGGATGGTCATGCTGGAAACTCAGACTTGTTGCGGGTCATTTATTGAAATCTTAAAATCTGTACCCCCATAATATGCCCCAATAAAAAAATAAATAAATAAAAGAAAAAAAACTGCAATGAGATATCACTTATCTCCAATAAGAATAGCCTTTATCAAAAAGTCCCCAAACAATTAATGCTGGCATGGATGTGGAGATATAGGAACACTCCTACACTGCTGGCGGGACTGCAAAGTAGTTCAACCTCTGTGGAAAGCAATATGGAGATACCTTAAAGTGATACAAATAGATCTACCATTTGATCCAGGAATTCCTCTACTGGGCATCTCCCCAAAACATCAATTGACACTCTACAAAAAGGACACCTGCACTCCAATGTTTATAGCAGCACAATTCACAATTGCAAAGTTGTGGAAACAACCGAGGTGCCCATCAATACATGAGTGGATTAATAAAATGTGGTATATATACACCATGGAGTACTATTCAGCTTTAAGAAATAATGGTAATATAGCATCTCTTGTATTTTCCTGCATAGAGCTGGAACCCATTCTACTAAGTGAAGTATCTGAAGAATGGAAAAGCAAGCACCGCATGTACTCCCCATCAAATTGGTATTAATGGATCAACACCTAAGTGTACATATGGGAATATCATTTATCAGGTGTTGCACAAGTGGCAGGGGAGGGGATGGGTATATACAAACATAATGAGTGACATGTGCACCGTTTGTGATATGGTCATGCTTGAAGCTCTGACTCAAGGGTGGAGAGGGGCATGGGCAATATATGTAAACTTAACATTCATATCCCCATAATATACTGAAGTAAAAAAAAGGAGAGTTGGACTCAAGTGTTAGCAATACAGAAACTACTCACCAAGGGGAAAGTGCTGGAATATGCTAATATTTATAGCCATGCTTATAAAAGAGAAATGTAATCATAAATTTCTATCTGGGCTGGGCCAAGGAGGTGGGGTGCCTCAGGAGTGAAAACTTCTGGAGTCAGAAGAGCAGATGGCTGCGTAGGGAGAGTGGTGATATGTAGAGGAAAGTTTCTGCCACTCTTGAGACACAGGGAGAAAGATTGGTGGCCTCAGGAGAGGAAAGAAATTGGGAGCTGAATGATGTCTGAGGCCACTTCTTTTTTGCTTGCTCTCTTCCCCTTCAACTCTTCACTTTGAAGCCCGGGTAATAGAGCACTACTCGTTCTTTCTACTAACTCTTTCATTTCTCATTTGCACAGATAGACAACCAGAAAATGGTCTAGGTGAGCTGGCTTAGATTGGGAATCTACCAGTCAGGTTGACTATGAAACCTGTGGAAATTATGTATTTTACAGACAGGGAGAATGAAGACTCAGGACTTCCTGGGATTGGCAGTTCCACACCCCTACTCTTCCTAGCAATGGCTAAACTGAGTGAGCCAGGGACTTACCCTTTCATGTAGTCCAAAGGCATCAATCAGAGATAAGACCCAGCTTACGCTGCCGTCTCCACCACAAACCAGAACGCGAAAGCGAGCGAAGTTCTTGAACATGCATAGCCTGAAAGGAAGAAGGGGAAAGGGAGTCATTTCATTAACAGCTGGGTTTTATATCTCTTTCTTACAACATGTCAGGACATAAGGACTGCTGCTTCGCACCCTGCTAACAGGCTACCTGCCTTATTTTAACCCCTATCTCTCTGTGTACCTAAGACCACAGGTAACTTCTCACAGGCACTGCCAGAGATAAGGTCTTGCCTCAACTATACTCTCCTGTGCCCAACTTTGCTCTGGAAGCCAGTAGTAACCTAGCCAAAGCCACTTGCTGAGGCCCAGGAAGAATGCCTTGCACAGTGGCCAGTGGGCTCACAGGAACCAGGACTGAGCAGCCAGATGGTCCCCAAATAAAACAGGTCTGTAATAGACATATATCTATTTGGCCCCAGGAAAAGAGTGAGTGGCAGAAAAGGTAGACAGCAATATCCATTTGCCTCTTCCTCTGAGGTCAGGGGCTGTAGTTTTACCTCTTCCAACAAGAAAAAAGTGAAGCAAATCTGAGAGCAGGACATGGGCTTTAAGGGATTTCTGGGAGAGGGCTAAATGTCCTCCAGCCAACAACAAATGCTCTGGAGTTATATGTTTGTGTCCTGATGTTAGAAAATAGATCTTTCCTGCCCAAGTACAAGAACTGATTTCAGGAAGACTGGAATCCTAGTCTAGAAGGTACAGAGGGAGGAATCTCTTACATACCCAGCTATATCCCTTAACCCATGCTTACCCGGCTTCAGGTCCACCCTTCGCCAAGTCAAACACTTGAGACGGATTAAGGTATTGTTTAAATTTTCGGAGGAAGATGATGCCTTGATGATCACCACTTTTGGAGTTGATGAAGATGAGCAGGGGGCATGAACAGGCTGATGACCAATTAAGATTCCAGAAGTCGGGGGCGGAGCAAGATGGCGGACGAATAACACCGCCAGACAGAGGGTCTCTGCAGAAAAGACCGATTCTAGCAGAAACTAGAGGAAAGAAGCAAGAAGACGAGCATACAGCGGACAAGGGCCGGAAGGAGGGGTACCTGAGACCCCGGGAGACTCCACGGGAGGAGGCTGCGGAGGAAGAACTGGAGGCTGAGACCACCGAGCAGCCGGAGACCAGCGGCAAGGGTAGGTGGATCTGCTGTTCCCCTCCCTGCATTCGGGACTGCTGGTGGGCTCCCCAGCGGGTGGAGAGACCTGCGGACATCAGCCCAGAGACTGCCGCCGCCTGCCAACGGTGAGCCTGTAGCAGACGTGGCACCAGGTTCCCAACTTCCCCGGGCACCTCCGTGTGCATGGACCCGAGCCGCGGGCAGGCGCCATATTGCCTCCTCCTCCCCTCCGACGACCCTACCGCGGCTGGCCCAGAGAGACAATAAGCCACCGCCGGAGGCACCTCAGGGAACGGCCTTCCCGTTTGGGACCCCGCCGCCTCCCAGGTGCTGCTGGCACCGTGTCCCAGGAAACGGTGCCGACTCAGAGCTGAGAGACATAGACCAAGCTTGGCTCCCTGTGGGTGAATTAGGACCGGAAATCCTCTCCCTGGTGGGAATACAGTGAACTCTGGGACCAGAGTCGGACCTGCGACCAGATCCCTGCACCGAGGCTAGCATTGCCCAGGGCACAGAAGGGTTATATGTGAAAGCCTACTGAGGGCTGTGTGCCTCCAGGGGCGGATCGGCCTAGAGGCAACCCTCCTCCCAGGAGGAGGCCCTGCGCCCAACCCAGGTGGCGTCTGTGCAGGAATCTCCCCGCAGCATCACAGTCCGGGGAGGCCTGGCGGCTTGTGGTCTGGCCTGCTGGCAGAGGCCCAGGAGTAGCTGCGGAGTTGGGGAGGGTGGAAAGAAGCGAGGCCTGCTGCAGACTGCGGTCTCAGACAGCCCCACCCCCACCCCCAGGCTTTCTGGCTGAGCGGGACCATTCCAGCCCCGCCCTGACAGCAGAGAACAGAACTTTGACCCCTGCTAACGGCTGAGGCAGGCTTACCCAACCCAGCTCCGCCAGAACGAGAGCTGATAACAGGACTCAAAATCAACACCATAGCGTTCCTCCAAGCAAACGCCACCTACTGACAGGGACGGCATCTTGCACAGCCTTTCCACGGCACCCACTGACTCAATATACAGGGAGTGGTCCAATTTCACCCACAGGCACCACCTAACCCGTCAGAAACTAAACAAGGTGTGTGAATACCAAACAATAACTAAGGAAAGAAACACAACTGATCGACATGGGAAGAAATCAGAGAAAGAATCAGAGAATATGAAGAACCAACGGAAACACACCCCCAAAAAAGCACCAGCCCCTAGAAGACACCGACCAAAATCAGGCAACAATATGACAGAAGAGGATTTCGTATGTGGAACATAAAACACTCACCCAGCTGCAAACAACAACTCAATAACCAACACCAAGAAACCACAAAAATCTCCAGATATGAGAAAAGAAATAGACACATTGAAGAAAAGTGTAGCCGAACTCCTGGAAATGAAGAATCAATTCAAGGAACTACAAAATACAGTGAAAGTCCAAGAACAGGGTAGATGAAACAGAAGAAAGATCTCAGAGCTGAAGATAACACCCTCCAATTAAATCAGTCACAGAAATAGAGCAGAAAACAATAGAAAAGAGCAAAGCCTACAAGAGCTGTGGGATTATGTGAAAGACCTAATGTAAGGTCATAGGTTACAAGAAGGGGAAAGACAACACTCAAGGGTTGGACAAGCTGTTTGAAGATCTAGTAGAGGAAAATTCCAGGCTTGCTCAAAAGCTCGATATACAAGTTCAAGAAGCCAGAGACCCTGGAGATTCACAATGCAAACAGGAAGACGTCACGACATGCAGGCATTAGACTGACCAAAGTATCAACTAAAGAGGCCCTTCTAAGAGCTGTAAGACAAGAAGCAAGTGCATTACAAGGAAAGCCAATTCGAATAACATCAGACTTCTCTAATGAGACTTTACAAGCAAGGAGAGACTGGGGCCCCATTCTCACTCTTTTGAAACAAAACAATGCCAGCCTAGAATATTATTCCCTGCAAAACTAAGCTTCCATATATGAAGGAGAAAAAACATTCTCAGACAAGCAAAGGCTCAGAATTCACCAAGACAAGACCAGCCCTACAAGAAGTACTTAAACAGCGTTATGCGGGAACCATAATAATAACCCACGAATATAAATCAACCAAAACCCAAAGATATTAAAGGCCAGATATTACATGGCTCAAGACAGAAATCATAGCAACAACCATCCAACCCAACAGAATGAATCAGTATTCTACCTTACCTATCAGTTCTCTCAATAAATGTGAATGGCTTAAACTCTCCACTCAAGAGACATAGGCTGGCTGAATGGATAAGAAAATACACAAGTATAGCTGTCTTCAGGAAACACATTTAACCTGCAAGGATTCAATAGACTAAAAATAAAAGGGTGGAGATCAATATTCCAAGCAAATAGAAGCCAAAAGAAGGCTGGTGTGGCAGTTCTAATTTCAGACGATTTAGTTTTTAAACCAACAAAGTAGTAAAAGACAAAGAGGGTCATTATATAATGATGAAGGCACAGTCCAACAAGAAAGAGATAACAATTTTAATATATATGCACCAACTAGTGTGCACCCAGATTCATAAAGCAAACCTTACTGAGCTAAGCAAATGGATATAATAGCAACTCCATAATAGCCGGGGATTTGAACACCCACTGACGGCAGAGACAGATCTCCAAACAGAAAATTATAAAAAGAAATAATGGACTAACAAAACTCTAGACCAATTGGGTCTGACAGACATCTACAGAACATTCTACCCAAAATCCACTGAATATACGTTCTTCTCATCAGCTCACGGACATTCTCTAAGATTGACCATATCCTAGGACACAAAGAAAATCTCAAGAAATTTAAAAAAATAGAAATCATACCATGTACCTTCTCAGATCACAGTGGAATAAAACTAGAAATCAACCCTAACAGAACTCACATTTCTACACAAAAACGTGGAAATTAAACAACCTCCTACTAAATGATTACTTCGTAATGAGAATCAAGACGAAATTAAAAAACTTCTATGAAGAAAACGACAATGGAGAGACAAGTTATCAACTCCTCTGGGACACAGCTAAAGCAGTTCTGAGAGGAAAGTTTATCTCCATAAATGCCTATAACCAAAAGGCAAGAAGATCACAATAGACAATCTAATGAAACGACTCAAAGAGCTGGAAAAGAAGAACAGACCAACCCAAACCCAGCAGAAGAATGAAATCAACAAGATCAAATCAGAACTAAACGAAATTGAAAACAGGAAGCTATTCAGGAGATTAATAAAACAAAAGTTGGTTCTTTGAAAAAATAACAAGATTGACACGCCATTGGCTAAGCTAACAAAAAGCAGAAAAGAGAAATCTCTAATAAGCTCCATCAGGAATAAAAAAGGAGATATCACAACTGATCCCAAAGAGATACAAGATACAATTTATGAATACTACAAAAACTTTATGCACACAAACTGGAAAATGTGGAGGAATGGACAAATTTCTAGAAAACACACACCTCCTAGGCTCAACCAGGAGAAAAGATCCCTGAACAGACCAATCTCAACAGCTGAAATAGAACAGCAATAAACATCCCTAAAAAGAAAAGTCCCGTCCGGAGATGGCTTCACACCTGAATTTTACCATACCTATAAAGAAGACTAGTACAAAAAAAGACACTATCTTGCAGAAACTATTCCACAACATCGAGAAGAACGGAAACCTCCCCGACACTTTTATGAAGCGAATTACTCTGATACCAAACCAGGAAAGGATGCAACAGAAAAAGAAACTACAGACCAATATCCCTAATGAACTATAGGCAAAAATTTTCAACAAAATCTTAGCTAACCGAATCCAGACACTTATCAAAAAAATAATCCCACCACGACCAAGTGGGCTTCATCCCAGGGATGCAGGGATGGTTCAACATACGTAAATCTATAAATGCAATCCCACATAAACAGAAGCAAAAACAAAGACCACATGATTCCTTCAATAGATGCAGAAAAAGCTTTTGACAAAATTCAACACCCTTTCATTATACGAACACTTAAGAAAATAGGCATAGAAGGGACATACCTAAAAATGATACAAGCCATATATGACAGACCCATAGCCAACATCATACTGAACGGGAAGATTGAACATCATCCCACTTAGAACTGGAACCAGACAAGGCTGCCCACTATCTCCACTTCTGTTCAACATAGTGCTGGATAGTCTTGGCTACAGGGCAGGCAGCACAGGAAACTGGAATGCAATCAGTATCCAAAAGGGGGCAGAAGGGATCAAAACTTCACGCTTGCTGATGTAGTGATATAATACCCTCTAGAAAAGCCCCAAAGATTCCAACCAAAGAAACTCCTGGAACTATCATGATTAGTAAAGTCTCAGGATACAAAATCAATACACAGAAATCAGAGGCATTCATATACGCCAACAACAATCTAATTGAGAGCCAAATGAAAGACTCAATTCCCTTCACAATAGCAACAAAGAAATTAAAGTACCTACGAATATACTTAACCAAGGATGTAAAAGACCGATACGGGGAGAACCATGAAACACTGAGGAAGGAAATAGCAGAGGATGTAAACAGATGGAAATCCATACCATGCTCGTGGATCAGCAGACTCAATATCATCAAAATGTCTATACTACCCAAACTGATCTACAGATTCAATGCAATACCTATTAAAATCCCATCAGCATTCTTCAGAGATATAGAAAAAATAATTTTTCACTTCGTATGGAACCAAAGAAGACCCCGAATATCAAGAGCAATTCTAGGCAACAAAAACAAAATGGGAGGCTTTAATATGCCAGATATCAAACCATACTACAAAGCTGTAGTAATTATAACAATATGGTATTGGCACAAAACAGGAATATAGACCAGTGGAACAGCTGTGAGAATCCTGATATAAAACCATCCTCATATAGCCATCTCATCATTGACAAAGCAGACAAAAACATACGATGGGGAAAAGAATCGCTCTTCGATAAATGGTGCTGAGAAAACTGGATAGCCACCTGTAGAAGGCTAAAACAGGACCCACACCTTTCACCTCTCACAAAAACCAACTCACGCTGGATAACAGACTTAAACCTAAGGTATGAAACTATTAGAACTCTAGAGGAAAAAGTTGGAAACACTCTCCTAGACATCGGCCTGGGCAAAGAGTTTATGAAGAAGTCCCCAAAGGCAATCACAGCAGCAACAAAAATAAATAAATGGGACATGATCAAACTACAAAGCTTCTGCACAGCCAAAGAAATAGTCATGAAAGTAAACAGACAACCTACAGAATGGGAGAAAATTTTTGCATCCTATGCATCCGATAAGGGACTGATAACTAGAATATACTTAGAACTCACGAAAATTAGGAAGAAAAAATCAAATAACCCCTTTAAAAAGTGGGCAAAGGACTTGAATAGAAATTTTTCTAAAGAAGACAGAAGAATGGCCAACAAACATATGAAGAAATGCTCAACATCTCTAATCATCAGGGAAATGCAAATCAAAACCACAATGAGATATCACTTAACCCCAGTGAGAATGGCCTTTATCAAAAAATCTCCAAACAATAAATGCTGGCGTGGTTGCGGAGAGAGAGGAACACTCCTACACTGCTGGTGGGACTGCAAACTAGTTCAACCTCTGTGGAAAGCAATATGGAGATACCTTAAAGCGATACAAGTGAATCTACCATTTGATCCAGCAATCCCATTGCTGGGCATCTACCCAAATGATCCAGTGACACTCTACAAAAAAGACACCTGCACTCGAATGTTTATAGCAGCACAATTCATAATTGCAAGGCTGTGGAAACAGCCCAAGTGCCCATCAATCCAAGAATGGATTAATAAAATGTGGTATATGTATACCATGGAGTACTATTCAGCTCTAAGAAACAATGGTGATATAGCACATCTTATATTTTCCTGGTTAGAGCTGGAACCCATACTACTAAGTGAAGTATCCCAAGAATGGAAAAACAAGCACCAGATATATTCTCCAGCAAACTGGTATTAACTGAGTAGCACCTAAGTGGACACATAGGTGCTACAGTAATAGGGTATTGGGGAGGTGGGCGGGTATATACATACATAATGAGTGAGATGTGCACCATCTGGGGGATGGTCATGATGGAGACTCAGACTTTTTGGAGGAGGGGGGGAAATGGGCATTTATTCAAACCTTAAAATCTGTACCCCCATAATATGCCAAAATAAAAAAAAAATTCAATCTGACATTTGCTAATGAAAGAGATTTAAAAGAAAAAAAATAATCTTAGGTAACCGAATCCAGACACTTATCAAAAAAATAATCCACCATGACCAAGTGGGCTTCATCCCAGGGATGCAGGGATGGTTCAACATACGTAAATGTATAAATGCAATTCACCACATAAACAGAAGCAAAAGCAAAGACCACATAATTCTTTCAATAGATGCAGAAAAAGCTTTTGACAAAATTCAACACCCTTTCATGATACGAACACTTAAGAAAATAGGCATAGAAGGGACATACCTAAAAATGATACAAGCCATATATGACAGACACATAGCCAACATCATACTGAATGGGTAAAAATTGAAATCATTCCCACTTAGAACTGGAACCAGACAAGGCTGCCTACTATCTCCACTTGTATTCAAGATAGTGCTGGAAGTCCAGGCTACAGCAATCAGACAGGAAAGAGGAATTAAAGGGATCCAAATAGGGGCAGAAGAGATCAAACTTTCACAAAGAGAATAATTTCTCGTTTATCTCTTCAAATAGCTTATCCCCTTGAGTGTTTTCTCTTCCCCTATGGTAACCCTATGACCCTCATATTAGGTTTTCTCACATAATCCACATCTCTTGTAGTCTTTGCTCTTTTCTCTTGTTTCTCTGCTCTATCCTCTTCACTGACTTGTTTAATGAGGTTATCTTCAATCTCGTGATTCTTTCTTCTGTTTGATTTCTGTTCTTTAGGCTTTCCACTGGTGTTCTAGTTCCCTGAATTGATTCTTCCTTTTTAGGAGATTGTTTGATTTTTTCTTTATTATTACATTTCTCTATTGACTCTTTCTTCCAGTTCCTGCAATCTTTTTGCATTTTCTTTGTGTTGGTCATCCATTTTTCTTGCAAGTCCATTGAATTTCTTACGCTCCTTGCTCGAAATTTTTCCTTCTGTCTTTTAGTGGTCTGATTTTCACTGATGTCCATTTCTAAGGGCTGGTGTTCTGCTTTGGGAATGTGCTTTCTGTTTGAGTCCTTTTTATTTCCAGAGTTCATTCGCTGATTTCCTTCCCAACTGGATCAGTTTTTGCTTCTTAACCTTTGGTTTTGTTTGTATAATACATGCCCTGTTTAGTTTCTAGCCATTAGGTGGTGTCTGTGGAGATTTGACCACACACTGTATCATGAGTAGTAGATGCTGTAAGAAGTTGTGCAGCATATCCCTGTCAGTCGTAGCGTGGCTTGCTGGGAGGTGCAGGCTACACCTGTTTTTTGGGTCCCGTAACCCAGCTCTTGTTCTCTGGAGGAGGCACTCTAGTGCCTTAGGTGTGGTGGGGCCCTGGGACTTCCAGGTGTGTCTTTATTCTCCACATCAGTTGAGGACTGATGGGATGGGTCTGAGTTGGAGCTGGGTTACGGTAAGCAGGTGCCCTCAACCACAAATGCTGTTTATCAGGGGTCAAAGTCTGTTCCTGCTTCAGGGTAAAGCTGTCAGGGAGGGGCTGGAATGGCCCACTCAGTCAGAAAGATCCACATTGGGCATATGGCTGTCTCAGACTCAGTCGGAGCAGCCCTGGCTTTTACACCCTCCCAATCCGTGGTTCTCCTGGGCCTCTTCAGAAGGCCAGACCTCATGCCACTGGTCTCCCTGGCTGTGGATGCAGCAAGGCAGTTTCCTTGCATAGGTCGCCACCTGGGCTGGCATACTGCTCCCCTTGGGCCGAGGGATGTCCTCAAGCTCTTATCTTCCCCTGAAGCACACATATCTTAGCAGGCCTGTTCCAATATCCCTTTTGTGCCACGGGCATTGGAGATTGTACGCAGGATCTGGTCTCAGGTCAGACTCTGTTCCCCAGAATTTAATCGCTGACCCCCACCAGGGAGAGGAGTGCTAGTGCTATGCTCATGGGAGCCCAACATCGGGTTGGTGTTCTCAATCAGGAGATCTGCCCAGATACCACTGGAATACAAACCAGACAACAACCGAGAAGAGCTGAGGGTAGGGAGCTCACTGTCTGAGTACCTCATTTCAGCTGTAGGCCCAAAAGGTAAGGTTCCAATTCCCTTGAGATGCTCTGGCTGGTGGCTATAATTGTCTCTCTTTGGTAGCCACGGATATGGAATGGGAGGGAGAATGAAGCAATATGGTGCCTTCCGCGTGCTCAGGTGTTTCCACACATAGGTCCCAGAGGGAGTTGGGGGCCTGGTGCTTGTCCACTATCAGATTATTGCTCACCTGGCGGTGGCTGTCCGGGCTATGTGTCTGCGGTCACTCCAACAACCACTGGGGAGCCCACCAGCGTCCGAGATGCAAGGGAGGGGAAGTTAATCACTCCCACTACCCTGCCTCTGGTCTCCAAGCTTCTTGGGAAGTTCTTCTTCCAGTTCCCCCTGCAACCTCCTCGCCGTGAAATCTCCCGTACAAATCCCATACCATACACCTACTTCTGCCCCCATACAACATAGTGCTCCTATAATTTTTTTTCTATTTCTGTAAGGAAGTAACTTGAGAATTTTTTTGGAGAAATAGGAGCAAATGTTTTTGTTAAGTTCTTGCATTTGAAGTACCTTTATGACATCGTTCACCCTGAGATTCTTTGCAATAACCTTAACGCCTAACAGCTGCAACCAAGCATTTAGGATTCTCCTTCTCATTTTACAGAGGTTACCAATTCTCCTAATTTCTTGTCATAAATTTTAATTAGGTTGATGTTTGGTTTTTTTTAGCATGAGGGCCTCCACAATGTTGACTAAATAAGGCTAATCCAGTTTGGATGCAGTAACCAGAGATGGGCTTGGTGCTTATCTAAGTTTCTGGAACTTCTGAATTCCACATGCAAGGCCACTGTGAAGAACAGAAGCCATTCCAGAAACCTTATAAGGCAGTATTAATGTCCACTACACTCTTTCAGCTGTCCCTTCCTTGGCATAATGGTGAGTTATGGGCAGCTAAATCTTGGACACAATGAGCCTCCATTTCGTGTGACTTGTCAGTGCAGAGAGAGAGAGCAACACTGGGATTTTGATAGAGATTATATTCGACTTGCATACACCATGTGACCATTGACATTTACAATATGAATCATGTGACCCTCTTGAGCAAGAATTATTCAAGCAGTGACTTTATTTTTCCATATTTTTGTATTTTCCAGTTTCAGTTTGATTTCTAGTTTCATTCATTTCATCAAAAAAGATACTTGTGGCTGGTGGCCAGTGGCTCACACCTTAATCCTAACACTCGGAGAGGCTGAGGTGGGAAGATTGCTTGAGCTCAGGAGTTTGAAACCAGCCTGATAAACAGCCGGCCATGTCCTCTACTGAAAATGAAATTATTTAGCCAAACAACAAATTAGAAAATTACTGGCATGGTGGCATGCTATATCCAGCTACGGACCTGAGGTAGGAGACCGCTTGACCAAGAGTTTCAAGTTGCTGTGAGCCTAGCTGATGCCAAGCACTGTGCCAGGGCAAAGCACGAGACTCTGTCTCAAAAAACAAAAAGGCATACATTGTGTGATTTCAGTCTTTAAATTGATGATGTGCTTCCTAAGAGAATTGCCATGTGTGATTGAGAATTTGTGTATTTGCCTGCTTTTTACTGTAGAGGTTCTGGTGCTGATTAGTAATTGGTTCTTAAATGTTCAAATTTTCTGTTTTTATTATCTTCATGTAATTTTTCTGTTTATCATTGAAAGTGGGGCTTAAAACCTACAATTATTGTGTTGTGTCTTGTTTACTTGCTACATTTTTTTTGTATATTGCTTTCCATATATTGGGATCCAAGGTGTTATGTATGTGTGTGGTGTGTGTGGTGTATGGATTCTGGATAATGGACACATTTTATCATCATATAATATCAATATTTGCCTTTGTGGAATTTTTTACCAGAGTATATTTTGGTCTCATTTTGCCACCTCCTCTGAGTTATTTATTTGCCTGGAATATTTTTTATGACTCCCTAAACTTTTTATTAAAAATCCAGTTGTGCTTGTTTCCTTTGCTAAGACAACTGTATTTATTGGTAAAGGTTAGGGGAATGTAAAATGAAATATCAGACAATATTAAAAATCACAGTTAGAAAACAAGAAAATGAACTAGAAAAACAACAATAGCAATCCCTAATTTGGAGTTCTAACCTGTAACCTGAACGCAATACAAAAAATACAAAAATTTTCAAATAAGATTAAGATTGGGAATTTAAGGGAAACACCTCACCGATGATGTTTATCTTTAAACACTAAAATGATTCAGCACCGAGGAAACAGGAAAGCAGTGCATAACTCAGTATTACAGCACCACCCACTGGAATTTTTTTTTTTCTTCTTTTATTTTCAGTCTATTCTGACTCCTTGGAGGTAAAATGACTTGTGGCAGCATATTGTACAGTCTTCGTTTGTTAATACATACAGTCATTGTATTTCTTTTATTAGCGGATATGTCTATTTATATTTAAATAATTACTTGAAAAAATGATTATTATAACATTTTGTTAATTGTTTCTGTGGTTTCTCCAGGTTGGTATTCTTCCATTCTATTTTTAAAATATTTTTATTTCGGCAATTACTGGGGTAAAGATTTTAAGTTTTCAATATAGCCTATTCCCCCCCCCCTACAAGTCTGATGTTCCTCATGAACCATCCTCAGATGTGTGCACATGCTCACTCATTATGTATGTATATATTACCGCCCCCTCACCCTCTCCCACGCAATACCCTATTACTGTAGTACCGTATGTGTCATTTAGGTGCCTACTCAGTTAATACCGATTGCTGGTGAGTATATGTAGTTGCTTGTTTTCATTCTTGGGAAATTTCCTTAAATATGGTTCCAGCTCTAACCAGGAAAATATAAGATGTGCTCTATCCACCGTTGTTTCTTAGAGCTGAATAGTAAAACGCCATGGGTATACATATACCATATTTTATTAATCCATTCTTGGATTGATGGCACTTGGGCTTGTTTTCAAGCCTTTGCAATTTATGAAGTTGTCTGCTATAAACATTCGTGCAAGTGCTCTTTTGTAGAGTGTCATTGGATCTTTGGGTAGAGCCCAGCAATGGGATTGCTGGATCAATGGTAGATTCATGTGTATCACTTTAAGGTCATCTCCCATATGCTTTCCACAGAAGAGATAGTTTGCAGTCCCACCAGCGAGTGTAGAGTGTTCCTCTCTCTCTCCCGCATCAGCCAGAATTTGTTTATTGGAGACTTTTTGATAAAGCATTCTCACTGGAGTTAAGTGATACCCATCTGTGGTTTTTGTTGCCATTTCTCTGATAATTAGAGATGTTGAAGCAATTTGTTTCATATGTTTTTTTGGCCCATTCTTCTGTCTTCTGTTTAGAAAAGTTTTCTGTTCAATGTCTTGCCCACTTTTTAATAGGGTTATTTGATTTTTCTTACCTATATTTGAGTCTAAGTATATTCTAGTTATCAGTCCCTTATCGGATGTAAGTAATGTCAAAATTTTCTCCCATCTGTAAGGTTTCTGTTGTCTTTCAAAGACTATTTCTTTGGCTGTGCGAGAAGCTTTTAGTTTAGATCATGTCCATTTATTATTTTTCGTTGCTAGCTTGATTTCTTTGGGGACTTGTCTTCATAAACTCTTGCCTAGGCCGATGTCTATAGAGAGTGTTTTCCAACTTTTTCCTCTAGAATCTAATATTTGCAAATGCCTTAGGTTTAAGTCTGTTATCCAGCATGTAGTTGATTTTGTGAGAGGTGACAAGGTGTGGTCCTGTTTAGCCCTTCACAGTGCTAATCCAGTTTCCAGCAACATTTATCTGCAAAAGGCATTTGTTTCCCAGTCGTATGTTTTGTGTCTGCTTGTCAAAGATTAATGGCTATATGAGGATGGTTTTATAGTCAGGATTCTCACATCTGTTCCCACGTGTCAATAATTCCTATCTTATGTGCCAATACCATATAGTTTTAATTACAACATTTGTAGTATAGTTTGATATCTGGTATATGAAGCCTCCCATTTTGTTTTTGTGCCTAGATTGTGCCTCTTGATATTCAGGTCTTTTTTTTTCTTAAGTGGGGCAAATATAGATTTTTTTTTTTAATTGACAGATGCCAAAACAGTTCAACAGTTTAAACCCTTTGGGGGAAACCTTTACAGCATTAAAAATCAGCAGCACATGAAAGCACTCAGAACCATTCATATGTCTAACTTCAGACTTTTATCGGGGTCTTTTTTGGTTCCATACAAGTGTAAAATTATTTTTCTATATCTGTGAAGATGTGGATGGGATTTTAGATATTACGTTGAATCTTGAATCAGTTTGGGTAGTAAGACATTTTAATGATGTTGAGTCTCAATCACGAGCATGGAATGGATTTCCTTCTGGTTTACATCCTCTGCTATTTCCTTCTAGTGGTTTCATAGTTCTCCCCTGTAGAGGTCTTTTACGCTCCCTTGGTTAAGTATGATCCTAGTATTTAATTTCTTTGTTGCTAATTGTGAAGGGTATTGAGTCTTAACTTTGGTTGCTCAATTTGATTGTTGTTGGCGTATACGAATGCCTCCATGATTTCTGTGTATTGATTTGTTATCCTCGAGACTTTACTAAATTTGCATTGACTGTTCCAGGTTTCCTTGGTTGATTCTTGCGGTTAATCTAAACATGTATATCATATCATCAGCAATA